GGGCCTGAGGCGGGGCCGCCGCGCTGCCCGGCAGCTGTCGGGGGTTCGCTGTCTCCGGCGAAGGGACAGCCGGCAACTCCACGACTGTAGTTTTAGGGTGCGCTGGCACAAATGTGAGTCTCCCCCTCTACTCCGCTCTCGTGAGAGCCCCCTGCAGTGCTGTGTTCAGCTCTGGGGGCACCAACATAAAGTCATGGACCTGCTCAAGCGGGTCCAGAGGAGGCCATGAAGATGCTCAGGGGCTGGAGCACCTCCCCCATGAGGACAGGCTGAGAGAGTTGGGGTTGTTCAGCCTGGAGAAGAGAAGGGACCAGGGAGACTTTATAGCGGCCTTCCAGTACTTAAAGGGGCTACAGGAAAGGTGGGGAGGGACTCTGCATCAGGGGGTGTAGGGATAGGATGAGGGGTAATGGTTTTAAACTGAAAGAGGATAGATTTATATTAGATGCAAGGAAGAAATTCTTCACTGTGAGGGTGCTGAGGCCCTGGCACAGGTTGTCCAGAGAAGCTGTGGCTGCCCCCTCCCTGGCAGTGTCCAAGGCCAGGCTGGACGGGGCTTTGGGCAACCTGGGCTAGTGGAAGGTGTCCCTGCCCATGGCAGGGGTTGGAACTAGCTGGGCTTTAAGGTGCCTTCCAACCCAAACTGTTCTATCATTCTCTAAAATCTCACAGTACTTTAAAGGGGCACCAAGTAATCAGCTATATAATGATGTACACAGCAACATCTGGATGCAGATGAGTCTGTTCAGCAATGTCTTTAAATTACATAAAGAAGTATATTAGGTAACAGCCATCACCAAGGAGCACTCACCCTAAATAATGCATGAGGTACATATGTGTATCAGCACTGTGAGAGAAACAACTAAAATTACGATCCCTTTTAAAGCTAAACAAATGCATTCCAATTAATGACTTAGAAGAAAACCGCAGCCATCAGCAACATAAAAGGGAATAAAAGGAATGAGAAGTATTGCAATTAAAGAAGATAGTGTAAGGTTAGTAAATGGAAATCCAAAGTCCCCAGTAATGTGTCTCTTACTAAACACTGGCAGTCCTTTCTAAGGAGCCACTCCAGGAACAGATACTGCATTTTAATATCTTAATCAATACAGATGTCATGCAGAGGTCTTGACCCCAATTTAGGAAGATATGCATAATAGACAGTAAATGTATTTATTCCACACTAGTGTCACAGGCAAGTCGAGCTGCAGATCTGGATAAAGAGGTTTAAGACCAGTGATATCTGAGCTGTCACCCTGATTGGTTATCTCACCTACTTAGGTCCACCTGCCCTTCCAATCAGGGAGACAGCCACTGTTCTGGGAAGGTTGTGCTGGCTCCCTGATCCACAGCTGCTCACCATTACCAGACCCAAGCCTTACCAGCCAAGGTTCTGAGGCTGCCCCAGTGTTTGTCTCCATGTATCTCTCCCATCTCCAGAATCTCTCCCAACTTCTAAGATCTATCTTTCTGCAGGATGTTCACACTCTTTCTGCTCTCCGAGCCCTTGACTTTCTCATGTGATAATCTACATTCAAAAGTACAAAGCCGATCTGCTCACTCACTGGCTCATGGCTATTCACTAATGGGAGGAGTCAGGAAATGCATTTTTTGTTTACTTCGAGCATTACAAAAAGTAATAAGCAGCTGACCCAGCTGTAGCTAGCAAGCAGCAGGTTTGTACTTGAGTTCCAAAGTTCAGTTTCAAACCCTCACTGTGCATATGCACCACAATTAGAGCAAAATCCCCAAAGAACAAGCACCGTGTCTCAGGCAAAGCTCTTGGTGAGCTCACTGACTTGCTCCTACTGCTTGTGGCTTTGCATGCCTCGTTCTCTCACAGCAGCCATGGGAACACACAAGCTCAGCACCCACTCCAACTTTCAGAGCACTCTTTAGCCATTGCCCTCTTTAGCTAATCATCAGATTCAGCCAGGTAGCCTGTTGATTCCCTTTTTATTTTCTGAATGATGTTGCTACCTCCCCTTCATCCATGACCTCAGTATAAGGCTGCATTGTGAACTCCTTTGGTGTTTCTAAATTCCCTCTGCTATTTAGAAGTATTGTGATACATCGGCATGTATACCAATATTTTAAAATATTTTTTTATTTTAAATATTTATTTTACTACTAGGCAACACAAACCATAAATGTGATTTAACAGAAAGAGAACCAAACTGTAACCTAAACTATCCTTGACATAGCAATTTATTTTTTTCTTTACTAAGCAGGAAAGAAAGGGCAGAACTAGACCCTTTTTTTTAAAAAAAAAAATAAAAATGGACCTGCATTCTGGACTTGGTGCTGACAGATTAATACATTGGGTTTACTGACACTGGAAGATGGTTGCTCAGTCTTTCAAAGTGATGAAAAATTGCACCAGACCTAACAACATAGTTAAGCAAGTGCTTAATTTTTAAAAACCTTGACTAATCCTTCTGACTGCCTCAGGACTACTTACATTTTTAAATTAACTCTCCCATCACCTTAAATGTTTTGGTGTGGAATGAATGGGCTGTAGCATTTAGGAGATTCCATGATGCAGAGAACACTTAATGAAAGTGGCAGTAACTGTTCCAGCTACCACCATTTGTAATGACAAATTACATTAATTAATTAATTAAGGGAAAACCATCAAACAAAAAAAGGGTGATGTGATTTATCAAAAGTGGTTTGCCACAGAAGAAGGGAAAACTTTGAAGCATAATAGAAATCATGCCAAAAATGCATTTTCATATGCACACTTACAGATGCTTTTATCCAGTTTGCACATGAATGCTCTAAAAGGATGAACTGTCCTCTCCTGATGGTGGGAGGAAAGTGAAGCTGCAATTCCTGAAACATGAGAGAAGAAAGTGCCTTCAAAAGGAAGACTCATGGTTTTCATTGCCTCTTCCTCACTACCAGTGTTCTTCTGGCTGGTGATTAAGGGATGGCTGCTCCAGGGACTGGCTGATCCCAGATGCTACCCCTTCCTGAAAAGAGGCGTTTGCGCTGTCCCTGTTGACAGGATGAGACAGGACACTACAGATCTACTGACCCTCATCCCATATTAATTTGCTACCTTACAGTAGCTCAGTTTTGAAGTTTCTATCTTCTGTATTATGTATCACCACACCCTATAAATCACTATATAATTACAGTGGGTCTATATAAAAAAACACTTTGACACAGAACAGAGAATTGTGTAGTTAAGTGGAAAAATGAGGTGCATTTTTCCTGGCCAGTCGGCAAATTGACCTTGCAGCAGTTAATCAATTGTGTAGTCTTAATGAAAGCAGGCTTGATGGAAACCAGAGAATTTTACTTCAGGAAGTGGCGAAGTTGGCTTTAAGCATGAAATAGTTGAAGACCCAGTGATATTTTAAGAAGAGTGGGGACACACCCCAAAACCGACTAAAACACGAGATGGTAACATTTTCTAAATATCATCCACATCCTCAAGCATTCAGAACTATAACTTTAAGGAGCACTTACAAACTCTGTCATATTTCAAGCTGCATGTACATTTTCTTTTGATTCATCCAGTTAGGATGCAAAACTTGTAAAATCAATGATACCTGAGTGCCAGAGTTACGCAAGAACTAAGACTTTTCAAAATTTCAGGGATGTATGGGGTTTGTGTGGTGGGGTTCTGGTAGTGGGGGAGGGGTGACAGGGGTGGCTCCTGTGAGAAGCTTTCCCAGCTCCAGGTCAGACCCACCTCTGGCCAAGGCCAAGTCAGTCAACAAGGGTGGTAGCACGTCTGTGGTAACATATTTAAGAGGGGAAAAGCTGCAATGGAGAGAGAAGTGAGATATGAGAGGAACAATTCTGCAGACACCAAGGTCTGTGGAGAAGGAGGGGGAGGGGATGCTCCAGGCATTGGAGCTGAGATTCCCCTGCAGCCCATGGAGGACCCCACGCAGAGCAGGTGGATGTGTCTGAAGGAGGTTGTGACCCCATGGAGAGCCCATGCTGGAGCAGTCTGTTCCTGAAGGACTGCATCCTGTGGGAGAGACCTCAGGCCAGAGCAGAGGAAGACTGTGAGGAGTCCTCCCCCCAAGGAGGAAGAAGCGGCAGAGATAACATGTGATGAACTGACCACAACCCCATCCCCTGTTCCCTGAGCCGCTGGGGAGGAAGAGGTAGCGTAATCATGAGCAAAGCCAAGCACAGATAGTAGGAAGGGGTAGGAAGAAGGTGTTTTTAAGGTTTGGGTTTATTTCTCATTATCCTATTCTGATTTGATTGGTACCAAATTTAATGGTTTTTCTCCAAGTCAAAACTGTTTTGCCCATGACCAGAGTTGGTGAGTGAGCCCTCCCTGTCCTTGTCTTGACCCACAAGACTTTTGTTATTTCTCCTCATTATCCCACCAGGGGGATGAAATGAGTGAGCAGTGGTGTGGTATTAGTTGCTGGCTGGGCCTAAACCATGACAAGGGACAACCTGATCAGATTCTCATTCAAGGAAGAAAAAAAAAAAAAAGGTAAGACGCCTCTATTTACACGTCACTTGTTCAGCCATTTCCAATTCATTTTAAATAATTTGGAAGTTATGTACTGCAAGCAGTTCTAGGCTAAGCATCCTTGCCAGACCAATTATCAGTGAAATGAAGGCAGAAATGAGTGAATCAGAGACATCTACATGAATGGAAAAAATAGTAATGACCAGGAGAAGCAGACTGGCTATGTCCACATTAACCATTTCACCAGCATGCCGAAAAACCATTGCTCATTGGTGTTGACAAGAAGTCACGATGCACATGGGAAGTGACATATGTTGAGAAGGTAGCTCAGATCTCTAGCCAAAGCAAGACCAAACCTAACTCTCCTCTTAACTCTGCCTTTTCCATCTATTCCCACTCTGCCTATGGCTCTCCAAGCCACATAGGTTGCCCAATCCTTACAGCAATAGTCCTTTCTTTTCCTATCCTGCTACAAAGGCTCTAGTCAGATCC